TGTTTCGCATTTCCGTGTTTAAGCGCTAAGTTATAAATTTTTAGTTTTTTCTTAGAACGTTTTGTTATGTTAGCTCAGTAAGTTAGCGATTCATTTTTTATTCTAGATGTTCGGGTTTCAAATTGGGTTCTTGGACTATTTTTTTTTTTTTTTCTACTTTCTAATTTTTTATTAAGTTAGCTTCATAATGTTTTAAATCTCAGAAATATGTTTTGTCACGCAAACCACATCACATTAGTCATTCTCTTTTGTCATATTGGTAGTCCAAAACGAAGATTTCACCAAGAAGTTTAACAAAGATTTTGAAATGTTCTTAAATTATTAGTTAAAGGTAGTGTCTTTTGGTTAACCAGAAAAATTAGTTTCGATTAAATTATTTTTCTTATCAGTTTTATTTTTGTTTTTATAGTTTTGCTTAAGTTTGCGAAATATCTTATTTTGAAATAACAAACCTTTTAACTTATGCGCTCGTACGTTCTTTAAACAAAAATTCAAAGATGCCCCGGAAAAAAAAAAGCTTATTTTATTCAAAACCATATAATAAAACGTATTCATATATTTTCCATTGTAGTATTTCAGAAATTTTATTGATTATAATAGTATCTTTTTAATAATAGTATCTTTTTAAATCCACAAAAATCAATTGCGGTATAATAAAATGTAATGTATATACGAATGTGATGTATAATGAAATTTTTTTTTTGTCAAAAAAAGCAAGGATTTTTTTATTTTTAAACAAAGATATAGTAAATAGTAACTTTTAAAATATTATGTGTATGTGATATTAGTTCATATACTTTAAATATTCAATAGTTTACCTTTACAATAAAAATATTTAGTCAAGATCATTATTTATAATATATACACAAAAACCGATTTTAAAATAACGAGGTAAGTTTTAAACATATTAATAATTTTATTTTGTACGAGTAGTGTCGTTTGATCAGAATAATTTTGTCCACTATAAGTTTAATATCCGGCCCACTGCATATTGTTGCAAAATTGTGTAACAAAATGTTATGAGTGATAACACCTATGAGATGTGTTAATAACTTACCTAAGAGATTAAATAACTTAATTGATGACTTAAAATTTGATAACTTATCACATAAGTCTTTATTACAGAGCACCGCGGATAGGTATTTAATTGAATGTTAGAAAGCCATTTATTAGATAAAACTTGTTTGTTGAAAATTGTGATAAAAAAATATTTAAGTACTAAGAAATATAAAAATATAATTTTTTTAAAAATTTATAATAAATTATCAATTGAAATATATAAAATAAAACATACAAGAACAATGTTTAATTATTAACTAGATAATTTAATTTTTTAATTTATAACAAAGTGTTATCGAAACTCCGATTTTTTCTCGACTCCGACGTAGTTTTTTCTCCATTTCTCTCGACTCCATTTTTTCTCGATATTGGATCCTTTGCTTGATATTTTTAAAAAAAAGTTCAAATAAAAGTTAATTCAAATTAATATACTCCTTAAATTTTTCTTACGCTTAACGTATCATAAATTAAAACATTTCAAAATTTAAGTTATGTTAAAAAGTTTAAAACATATTCTACTGTTAAAAAAATTGATATTTATAAATTCTTAGTATCATAAATATTGTTACCATTAATTTCTAATAAAAATTTATTAGAAGTTTGTTAGAGCAACTTTTTACGCAAGAAAAAAGATTTTTAAAAAAGTTTTTTTTTTCGGTGTCAAAAATTTAACGATATACACAATTTTTTTTGTATAAGCAACTCGTTTATAAGCAACTGAACTCGACGTGAAAAAATATTAAGCAACTTAGTTCTGAACATTATTGTTAACTTAAGCAACTCATAAATTGCAACTTTTTTCTCTGCAATGTAATGACTTCTTTTAGATAAACGATTTCAAAAGAAAGTAATCACAGTGGTGTTGTTGTTGTGTATGTTGTTGACAACGCTGTTAAGATCATGAGTAAGAGAAAGCAGACAAATTTGTTCAACTTTGGTTTTACCAAAAAAATCTGTCATCGTGGTGAGTTGGTAAATGTATTGCGGAAGGAAAAAGAAGATAATTTGTTTGAATGTATTGTTTGCAAAAAATCACTGAAAACATTACAAGCCCTTTTGATGCACGAGTTTTGGTGTAAAAATAAGTTATCTTATACGGATATTGCTCAAACTGACAAAGACCCGAAATCAATGAGCTTGGATCAAATCATTGATGGAAAGAACAAGTACGATAATATTGAAAAAACTGTGAAAACGGTTTTAGAGAAGCTTGTTACTGATGTTGAAGCTAAAAATTGCTGACTAACGGAAGAGCTATACGTTAAAAGAAAAGGTTGATGCGCTAAATGACTTAAACGATAGTATGTTAAGTAGGGATGTAGCAAAAAAGTATAACGTTCATAAGAGTATGATTACGCGATGGAAATCAAAGGAAAAAGAACTCTACTACAAATACAACGAAAAAAAGAAAAACGCGTTATTCAGGAAATCCCGAAGAGGCGACAAACACAAAGCTTTGTTTAACAAACTTTATGACAAGTTCTCCGAAGCAAGAAAAAGGGGGCTAAAAGTTAACTTTGAGTGGTTGTATATTCGAGCGAATCAAATTCATCTACAACAAAGCCTGAATACTGACAGATTGCCAAAATCAATAGTCACTCATTTCTTAAGGAAAAATAAGATCCGCATGCTGTGTGTTCAACGTAAGCGCCAAGCTGACGTAAAGAAGACTGTATCTGCCAATGCATTTGGTTGCCAGTACACATCTACATCAGTGTCATAGGCTAAAACTTCATCTTTCCGTGAAATGGGTGAAGAACATTTTCTCCAATGCTGTTGCTAACCTGGATGAGTATGTTTTGTTCTGCGATAACCTGACAGCCCAAGTCAGTGATGAGTTTTTGAATGAAGTGCGACAACATAAAGTGGCTGAAACCATTTTGGAAATGAAATATATTAAGGAATCCAATGCATTCAAAATAAAAAATATTTATATTCAATAAAAAAAGTTGCCTAAACTCCCTAATATAAGTTAATAGCGAAATTTAACAACTGGCTGATTTTCTCTGCAAAACAAGATTTCTTCGAGGTATTTTGTGAAAATTTATGTTTTTGTGAAAATTCTCAAAATATTTTGTGAAATTTCTGAGAACATTTTGTGAAAATTCTAAAAAATAACTATCTTTCTAAATTAGATAAATATCGGTTTTCGGTATGTTTTTCAACTGAAATTTAGGTTTTAACCGAATTTATAAAAAGTACTGAAACCGAAATTTTGGTATCGGTTCAAAATGAAATTTTGGCCGAAACCGATACCGAAACAGAATTTCGGTCGATCACTAGTTTAAATACGCGAGTACAACTAAGAAAAAATTAGTTTTACGCGCTTACAACTAAGAAAAAATTATTTGTACGTTACGCGCGTAAAAATAATGTCTACTGATTTTTTATGTAGGACTCGACATTTATTTACATATATGTGTGGCGTATATATTACATCTTCGCATTATTTACATTTTGATTAGTTTTACTATCAGTCTGATTTATGCTAAAAGCAGCCATTTTTAAACAAAAACACTTTGTATTGGTAGCGGCAAGAGAAGGGTGTACCGGAATTCCGTTCCAGATTTTGTCATTTTTGTTCGTTTCGATTCCGGCCGGAAATACAACTTCTCAGGCTGGAATGCTAGGATTTATTTTTTACCTTTATTGTTAAGGCATGTGACACAGACTGTGTAAATTAAATCAAAATATCGTTATCCTACATGGCAATGAAAAACTATGGGAAAACCTATGTAAAAAGTACAAATTTCTAAATTAATACAATGTTAGTTTATTTGCAGTAATCAATTATGTAAGGATTTCTGGAAATTTAGGAATATTGTGGTCAAAAACAAGAGTTGGTCTCCAGTTTTGGGCAGTTTTGAGTTTTCATACTTCCCTGTATTGTATATTGTACATTGAAACCTTAACAGAGAAACTTTCACTTACTAATAAAGGTGCTTACTTCCATACACTGCAAGTGCATTCTCAAATAGCGTTATGGTCACTAATTGATGACTTTAAACTAGATGCAATCTAATGGGGGCAGGTAGCTACATGACGGAATAATCACACCTGTAATAACCAATAAAAATATTGCGCACTAAAGAAGATGCACTAAAAAATGTCACTGGATGTAATTATAAGGTACTTTTTTGGAGTAAATTTTAGTTTTTTCTATTTTTTTTTATTCTATTTTTTATTTTTATAAAGTTTGCAGTTAGTTTAATTTTTATATGTTTTATTTTTCAAGAACTTTTCATAAAACAATTTCTTTTTTTCGTGAAAATTTTAGTGAGCCTTTAGAATCCAAGGATTTAAAAGTGTTTTGGTATTTATAACAAATTTTTCCTCAGCAAATACTTTTTCATGCTATTTACAAAAATGTTTAAAAAGTAGTTAGGATTGTTAGCCTCACTTGATGGAATCCTAGTAACGTTATATTTTAAATTGAAAGGAGCTTTCGTTGAAGTGCCGCTTCCATATTTTGAAGGAATATTATACAGTTTTTATAACTTTAGTAAATAAAAAAGTATATGTTTATTTTTGTATATTTACTTATCTTTAATCGATACTTTTTCTAATGCGCGACTGTATGGAACAGAAATAAATGTCGGCACATCTTAATATGACAAAAACGTATAAAACAGTATCATTAGAGAATTTTCAACCTATTTTAATTGTAATAAATATCTATTAGTATCTAAAAGTGATCAGGAAAAACATCTTTTTGCATTTTCACGGAACAGTGACAAATATCTCATTTTACTTTTCATCAAATTTATTCCGTATTTTTAAAGTTACCATAAACACATCAGTAAAAATTTTCAAAGCGCATTAGAATTCTGAAAATTTCTATAAGGTTCTCAAAGTGCTAGAAAATTCTGGAAAATTGAATTTGACATTTGACACATCAAAAAAAAAAAAAAAAAAAAAAAAAAAAAATGCTGAGGGAGAAATTTCACAAAACAGTTTTTCCAAGATTTTATAATAGATAAATGTAAACTAATAATATACTAAGAACTATTTTTGTTAAAAGCAATGACTAGTAAACCTTGACATAGTTCTCTCAAGAAAAATGATTTTCGGGATTGTATTAAAATGATTGTAAATAGAAACTTGTTTTGAATTTTAAGCTTAATTTGCTCGACGAAAAATAGTATAACGGTATAAAGTCAAACAATTAATAAATAAAATGGTTATTTTTGTTGCTACGGAAATATAACGGAATATGTTTTCCAATAAAATCCTTTATGAAAATCTGGACAAAGTTGTGACATAATTTTATATGTGCATGTAAAATATTAATTATCCAATTGATAATTTTAAATTTTAATGACAATATCTTTACTAAAACAAAATTAACGCTAACGTCATGCTAATTGTAAGAACTCCATCTTTAAAGCTAAAGTTGTCACGTAACAACATTTTAAAGGAGGGATCTAATCTCGGAAAAGGAGAGCAGTATGAATAAAAAAACATCAAAGATGAATTGGGATTCGATGGGATTTAAGCAAATATGCAAACAAAAATTTTTTAGTTGGAAGAAGCGAAAGTTATGATCGAGTTAATGGTTACTGTTATACTTGTTGCTGGATGTTTGATGTTTGTACAAACATTCATAATGAGAAGTTGCTTTTTAGTTGGCCAACCGGCACAAAACTCGCACTTTAGTAACAATTCACTTACAAAATTTTAAAGTTTACTAAATAACATTTTTTTTTTGTAAAGTTTTTTTTTTTCGTTTAACAAACTCTATAAACAGTATTTTATTCAAAAAATCCTGAACTTTTGAAAGGAAGTGCGTTATAAACTATACTTTCTTTTTCTATTGTACTTTTAAACGCGTCTATTCATTGATATTCGATATTTTGAAAAATGAACGCTATCTTTAATGAAGAATTTCAAAACAAATCAAAGCAGTTATATAAAAGAATTTATTTTACTAAAAGTTTTGCTACAAGAAATACACATGGGCAGCAAATAAAATTTGTGAAAGAGTTATACTTGAAGTGAGTAAACTATTTTTTAAAAATCTTTTTGCTTATTTACAATGACGGAGTGTACACTGTAATACGTACACTGGTTATTGTACATTACTTAAGTGTTGCTATATATATATATATATATATATATATATATATATATATATATATATATATATATATATATATATATATATATATATATATATATATATATATATATATATATATATATATATATATATATACATATATATATATATATATATATATATATATATATATATATATATATATATATATATATATATATATATATATATATATATATATATATATATATATGTATATATATATATATTCTTTAGTTCTTTTTTCTTTTTTTGAAACTTTATTTTGCACTTTTTATATTTTACTTCATTTCTTTAAAATAAAAAAATTTAAATTTTTAATTTACTTCCAAATGTTTTTAGACCGCTTTGGGCTTTATCCGACCCATTCAAGGCATCATGCGAGAGGAACTCATAATTTAAAATACGTCAAAAAGTATCAGAGTTTCAATAGGAAAGCCCTTTTTACTCTTTATTTGTTATTATGGCTGTTTTGGTGATTATATTTGCAATTCTAGTGTTTACCGCTATAACTTTTATACAAGCGGCAATGCTGCTCAAATGTCCTTGCTTAAAAAACCGAATATGTACTGTTCCCAACAGATGTAATGGGACAAGCCCACATTTTTGAAGTTTTTTTAAAATAGACAGTTTTTAAAAAGCAACAACATTGTATTATTTTTAGTGGTAAATTTTTTTTTTTATTTGTTTGTTTTTAAATACAAAGTTTTTTAATTTTATCTTTATTGTATCTATTTTATTTTTGAAAAAGTGTAAATATCGTAACTAAATGATAAAAATGTAAAAATGGGTTTTTAAATGAATCATAAATTTTGAATGAATATTCAAGAGATATGCTATATAAATATATGATGAAATTTATTGGCAAATTTTTATTTTGTACGAATAGAACGAGTATTAAACGGGTTTTGAAGTAAACGTTAACACAGTATCTTTCATTCGACTTATTTAAACAAATACAGTTTTGCAAGTTCATAGTACTTGTTTAAACAAATACAACGTACAATTTAAAATCAGTGACCAAATTAAATTAACTTTAAAGCATATAAAACACATCCTTCAGACCCATAGAGGTACAGTAATGTAAGATAATTTAAAAATTTTAAAACTTTTTTTTGATTTCAACTAAAAAATGGGAACATTAGTTTAAAAAGCGTAAACAGCTAAGCTTTTCAAAAAAACAATTTAGTTTAGTTTTTGTTCGGAATGGAAGAGTTTTTTTTTATGAATTTTTTAAGCTGCACTACTCGTTTGTGCGAAATAGTTTTAGAAAGTTGTCTACATTTGAATTATAAGCGCAATCTAAGAGGGAAATACGCCGAAAGTTTTTATTATTAATGTTAATAAGTATCTGCGCCCACTTTTTAAATATTTTAGAAACTTACGTTTATGAAAACTGTTAAACACTAAGTGATATAAAAGCGCCGAACTATATACTAACACTGGTGTAATGCCGTAAATTCTTGAAATATATACAAAAAAAATATATATCGAGTATATAATATTTTATTGAAAACATTAGTTTGAATTTACAACAACTAATAAAACAATCATTTGACTTGATATTGCAAATATATTGTTGTAAAATTGAATATTTTAAACGCAAAGACTAGAGTTATCGCTGGGTTTTGCGTCATTACGCAGGTGGCGGATACATTTTTATTGATACGCGTTCAAATACATTATTAAATTATTAAAAATTGCTTTGCACATCTCTGAATAAAGAAAACTTTTTAATCTGTTGTACTACTTCTCAATTTAATATAACCATGGCAATCATGGTGTATCCACCACGATCAGTTCAAACTTCAATGATTTTAAATTAAAATTCCTACCTTCAGTTTTTGAAAGGCATATATAAATGAAAAATAGTCTAACAAATGGTGTCATAACCTGACTAGGAATTACGTAACACTTCTCAACTGGTGCAGGGTACTAGTTACAGAAACATATGTTTGAAATACTGGATGTTAATGAGATGAAATGTACTGAGATCATTTATTTAATGAATGTTTCTGAAACACACCCTGAACGGATTGTATCTACTTTTTTTTTTTTTTCAAGGCCAGGCAAGTTACTTTTAAATTTTGAATTAATGACCAGGGTTGGGGTCAAATACATTTGATAAAGTACAAATAAAAATACATTAATTCTAGATTTCCAAACTCAAACACAAATATATTCATATGGCATTTCCCGAATACACATACAAATATTTGAATCTTAGGTTCAGAAAAAATGCAAAGATTTCAGACAAGACTGATAAAATGGTGTGTTAAATAAAAGAATAAAAACAAGTTTTCTAACAAATATACCTTAAAAACAAATTTTAATTTATTTTAATATTAAAAATAAAATCAAAAACAACGAACCCTTTGGTTTTTCAAAAAAAAAATTTTGAATATCTTGTTAATAAAATTGTAAATACATTTCATTCGAATACAAACACAATTTATATTTACGATAATTAATTTAGTTTATTTTTATTTAATAAATTTTTTTATTAAATAAAAATAATAATAATGCCTTGAGAATTGACTTTCTGTTCGTTGAGATATACGATATGTTAATATGCATGGCTACTCCTGGATACAGTGCATATGAACAACTAACCAATTTACGTTTTTCATTTCCCATATTCTTTACAACTACTCTTTTTTATTTGTTCCTGTTGTACGTACTTTGTCTTTTTAACTAGAAATAAATGTTAAAAAAATACATTAGGATTGTATTATCAATTACGAAAAATTGTTTCGAACAATTTAATTATTTGTAAAATATCTTGAACCATCAGCATTACAGCATTAATCTATAAATTTCGAGCACATGTCTATTAATATATATCTTTTCAGTGTTTCCTTTACAATTACCCAGTCATGATATTCATGATGAATCACTTCATAGGATAGTTGGTTGAATTAATATCATTTAGTGCGATATCACTCCATTAAATAAGTTTTTAATGGTTTTTAGTAGTGGAAAAAGTCGCAATCCATTCAATATAGTATAGGTCAGACGTCAAAGCTTAGTAAAAAAAATCAAAAAAAGAGCGATTTTTTTGAAGTTACGTTTTTGTCAAGTCCTATACACATATGCAAACCCCCTGCAATACTGCAATAAAAGATAAAGTACTTTATATCTTTATTTGAAAATAATATATTTCCTGAAAAATTAAAGCTATCCCAAATTCATCCAGTTTTCAAAAAAAGGTGATTGTTATACTGTTAACAACTACCGTCCTATATCATTACTCCCTGTATTTTCAAAAATATTTAGAAGTGTAATTTATAATAGAATTTATGACCACATAACATTAATAATAAGCATATTTTACAAAAATCAATTAGGATTTCAGAAATATTGTTCTGCTAAACAAAAAACAATATTTTGTGCTGAAGGAGTCAGGACTCCTATTATGGATAATGACTCATATCAGTAATTATCTAATTTAGTTTTTGAACTTACAGGGTCATTGAATTTATCAACCAACTTAAATTAATAACATTGTTTTTTAGTTGGTGCAACTTTTATTTTAATGATCTATTTTAAAAGAAATAAGAAAAATCAGCATCTGTGTGTAATAAACACCGCTTTGATTTAATTTTAAACTGATTAAGCAAAATATTCTTATTGGCAAAAATGATTGGAAAGCTTTTCCGCAAATGGCGATTTTGAATTGAATAAGAACTCAGTTTTGAATAAGATTTAGGTACAACTAAAGTTGTTTTTGAAAATACTTGTAGAATACTTATGGTGTATTTCTTCAAAATAAGTTTTAAAATGTTTTGGAGGCAGTCCACGTTTTGTTTTATACATGAACTGTAAAACTAGATGAATGTTAAATTTGAGAATGTTTAAGGCGCCAAGTCTACATAAAAGAGGTTTACAAGGAACAGCTTTACCAGGTCCAAATACAATTTTAACTGCATGTTTTTGCTTTCTGCACAGTTTGCTTAACTTAGTGTGATTATTACTTGCCAATACAATATTTCCGTAAGTTAAATAACTATGTATAATAGAAAAGTATAAATTTTTTAAGAACCTTCTCGATAGATCATGCCAATATTTTTTGAGATTTTTTTTCAATGGAATTTATATACTGTTTCCATGATAAAAAATTAACGGAAGTTTGCATTTTAATGTCAGTTTTATTAATTTGGAGATTGGGAAAAGTGGTATTTCTTTTGATTTGCTTGGTTTGTGGAAAAAAGAAAAACATTTTTTTGGACCTTTTAAAGGGAGTTTGTTGTATATAAACCATTCATTCATTGACTACTTTAAAAAGTGTTTCAATATTTTTTATGAGAATAAAAAAGATTAGAGTAAACTGCAAATAAAATGAAATTTAATAAGTTTGATGTTGAAGATAAATCATTTATGTAAAATAAAAAAAGTAAAGGTCCTAATATAGAACCTTGTGGAACTTTACAAGTTATAGCCTTTTTAATTGTTTCTATATTATCACATTGTACGTATCGTTTTCTGTTCGACAAGTAATTTTCAAACCAGTGTAAGTGTAATATTCTATAATCTCTTAAATATAAAAATATTGTTTGAAACAATGAACACTGAACTGGAAAATCATACTTTATGTCATCTCTCCTACGATAATATCATGTGGACCAATATGAACCAACGCACATAAAACTTAATTAAATTACAAAGTTTACAAAACCACGCATGTAAAATAATTTATTACTTAAAGATATTTGAAAATTTTTACCCTGTAATTAAATACATGAATGTCTTAAATATATCTAAATTTAGTTTATTTCAAATACTAATATTTATGTATAAATATGAGAAACTCGCTCATGAAAAAATTCAGATACAGATAAAACTCTGTAAAACCTCTGTAAAGGTTAAACATATCTTTACAGATAAGTTTAACCTTTACAGAGATTTTACATATAGGTTTAACGTTTACAGAGGTTTTACAGAGAGATTTAACTTTTACAGACGTTTTACAGATAGGTTTAACCTATACAGAGATTTTACATATAGGTTTAACGTTTACAGAGGTTTTACAGAGAGATTTAACTTTTACAGACGTTTTACAGATAGGTTTAACCTTTACAGAGGTTTTTTCTCAAAAGTACAATCTCTGATCAAATATCAACCACAGTTATCATTTTAGCGGAGTAAAATCGCAGGTTTCAAACTTTTCAATTATAAAAAAGCTAACGTCCAGATTTATGGAATCAATTAAAAAAAATATTATAGCTTTAATATTGTTCCTAAAGCGACAAATTAAAAGGTTGTGGTGACACCAGTCATTCATATCTTTATAGAGCCTCTGTGTGTTTTTATATATTCTCTTTATGTAATGTAGAGATTTCTTTGTATTTGTATATATTCAAAAAAAAATTAAATAATTAAAAAAAAGTAATTAGGAAGGTTACATGCGATTTGTTGCACTATCTATTGGAAGGCTAATTAAACACTAATCGTCAACTTACACGTATATTTACAGTATAAACTTATGAAAACAGTTGTCAGCCACCGACGAGGAAGTTAACTAACTTAACCTTAAATATTTCCATTATGCAAATTATGCAAAACAACGTGGAAGACCATTTAACTAGGAAGTTCACGTCTTTTTTTTACTGATGGCGCGAAATATGCCCAGAAATCGCTTCGAATCATGAATCTCTTGCTTATAAAGCAACCGCTTTAACCACTGCGCAACGGCCGTTTCCTTTGACTAGAACTAGTGTAAGACAATTTTTAAAATTAATATTATTAAAAATATTTTTAAGAAACTCAATGGGACAAGGCAGGTAACGTAACTTGGCTATTCTGTCTATTAAAATTCTATACCCCGGTTTTTAAATTTTGATAGGATTACTGATACTTTAGCTGAACAAAAGGCTCGGAAAAAAAAAATTTTTAATTACAAATATCTTTTAATAATCAAACTGTTTTTTCATCTAGTGGATTCTATTTCTTATTGATAAGCATCTGAATTTATTTTTTTACATATTCTCGCAACATTGGAGAAAAAGTGTTTTAATTTTGTTTTTGTATTTATGTTACATATATATAAATATACATAAACATCTGTTTAATAAAATATTTCTTTTTTTTAATAAACAACATAAAATTAAAAAAATGTCAATTAAGATATAATTAAAGAAATGTTAAAAGAAAAAGAAGAAAAAAATAAATTACAAGACATTTAAAAAATATGATCAACTTGTGTTACCACAGAACTGTCATGGTTGTCATTTATTCTGCTTTATCTTAGGCAGATTAACTTTACATCCAACAGCTTGTTTTACAGAACTGAAACCGTTTTGCCTAAAACAGTAATTTCATAAGGTAAAAGACAAAATAAAAAGTTTTTTACAAACCATGATTTGTATAAAAACAGTAAAGTAGTATTACATAATAAACTAGTGTTTTCATAATAATGATCATGGGTCAATCTCTCGAGATATAATCGCATTACACCACTTATCCTTGCATAGCTTAAAAATCGCATATTTAATTTCTTATTGATTAGCCACTGAATTTATTTTTTACATATTCTCGCAACACTGGAGAAAAAGGTGTTTTAATTTTTTTTTTGTATTTATGTTACATATATATAAATATATATAAACATCTGTTTAATAAAATATTTCTTTTTTTAATAAACAATTTTTTTTCAAAAAGGTTTTGAAAACTAAAATGTCTTACTAATAAGTACCTCAAAATTTCGGCTAATTCCATTTTAACTTTGCCTACAACAGGTGGCCCATGAATTGTAAGTGAAGTATAAAGTTGCACAAGCGAAGCTCCGTTACATATTTTATCAAATGCATCAGCACCATTTGAAATGCCTCCAACGCCAATTATAGGAATACTTCCTATGACAAGAGATAAATACAAAGTATGCAAACACAAATAAAAAATAGTTTAGCATAGAAAAGTATTTTTTGATAAAAAAATTACCACTGATCATTACTTACCAATTAACACTGATCATTACTTACTAATTAGCACAGCAGTTAACAAATATTAATGTTAACAATTAACTGCTCATTAATAAAACCTTTTAAAATCAAATTTACTCACAAGACTTCAAGCAACCACTAACACAGAGTTCAAAAAGTTCTAATATAAATAAATATTTATATTAGAATGAGTCAAAAATTTTCTGTTTTGACTTCACAAAAATTTTCTGTTTCTATCACTTATAACTTTATAAGAAACTTTTTTCCACTTTAAAAAAGCTTTTATTCTAAATATGAAGCGCTTCAAAAATACTACAAAAACCTGGTCAAAAACTGCGTACTGGCTTGCATAAAGAAATTACAGAAAAAGTTAAAACAGCTGGCGAGGAGGGGGGGGGGGGGAGGGTTATGATAAATATAGTTGTTTAGGCTTTTTATATATTAGACAATTTTATAAATGAGTGCTGCTTTATGGGGAATATCACCTTTCAAAAAACAGGTAAACATGCATGTAAAAAAAAATATGTATGACAAACCTATTAGCATTAGCATTGAATATTGAAACAAAAAGTATAACAAATTATAAATAAAATTGCTTTAACTGTAATAATTTATTAACCTTATAAGTTAAGGTAATTTTAAAAGGTAATTTTAAAACCTTATAAGTTAAGGTAATTCTAAAGTAATAAATAAAATAATTTATTAACCTTATAAGTTATAGTGAACTTTGCTAAAATTCGTTTATAATTAATATAAATATATAATATATATAAATCTACATGGAAACTAACCCACAGACATTAAAAATAAACAAATAAAATAAAAGCTAATGTATGAAGAAACAATGAATGGATAAACAATGAATGGATAAACAAGTAAACTTACTAAAACTGCTGAAAGTTGTCAATTGAAAAACAAAACATTTTCTAGTTTTAGAACATCTTTGTTTAGCAAACCATACTTTGAAAAATCAAACTTTGAAAAACCAAAAGGTTGAAAAAAAAAAGCATCAAGGCCAACCTAAACTACTCGATCTGATTTGATGCATTTTCCATAAAATATTAAAAGTTTTTTATGGCTTAAGTATAAAAGCTTGATTTTTTTTTTATGGTTTAGAGTCGTTTTTGCACTATAAATGTTTTATTCTTATTTTTGTTTAAATGGATAAACAATAGTTAGATTTTTTTTGAGTACTTACATTATTTTGTGCTGCATTTTTTGTTAACTGATTGCCTGCTTCAGTTTATTTCAATAAAATAGAATACTGAAATAGAGTTTCAGATAGCTATATATCAACTAGTAATAAACTTACATGTTGCTAAGATACTAATAATAAACTTACATGTTGCTAAGATTGCCTAAACCTCTCTATTGAAAATAAAATCAAAGGTTTCTAATTTTGTATTTATTATAATTGAAACTAAAAGAAAAATTTTTTACTAATGCAACTTGCTATAGTATATATCTATGCTATCTGTTTGTCTATATAAATACTAGTGTCAGAAAGCAGACACAAGTATTTATGTAGACAACTAAGCAGTGTCTGGCATAATATTTTTTAAGGATTATCAAATGTTTGATGAATATTTTCTTCTGGCCTCTTAATTTTTTATGGAAAATGCAACAAATCAGGCCATGTAAATTAAGTAGGCCATAAAGGCGAACAGCCTGAACCTTAGCTTAAAAAAGGACACCTTTTGGAAGATATTGTTAAAAAAACACAAGAACAAAAGATTTTTTTTGTGTGCATAAAATATGTAAAAGTAGATAAACAAAAATACATAATATTAGTTTGTTTAAAAGAGTTTTTTCTGAAGTTTAAGAAGTTATACCATAAGCACAAATTTGGTTTCAGCAAGTTCTGTGGACCAAAGTTGTGCTTCACAAGTTCTGTGGACTAAGATCAAAGTTGTGCTTCACAAGTTCTGTGGACTAAGACCAAAGTTGTGCTTCACAGTTGATGATAATTAGGTTAAAAATTTGCTCTGCAAATTATTAAGACTGTAATAAAATGGTAGATAAGCAAAGAAAATTGTTGAATTTTTATATGGTTGAGCTGGTGTTTAAATGTAATAAATAATTTTATTAAGCACTAACACTTCACACTTCTTTTTATGGGAGGACATCAATAAAAAAATAAATAAACCAAATACTTAGTCTTAATTAAAAACTTGCAAAATTTCACAAATCGGGTGTAACAAAAACATAAAAATAAACTACAGCATGCTGGTAGATTAAAAGATGAGCATTATTTATTGATTCTGTACTTTTGTATTCATGCTGGTTTTGCTCAATATTTTTTTTTTAAATAAAAACAAATTTTTTAACCTCCAGTTAGAATGTACATGTCTTTTATACATTGTGTTGCCAGATCCTTTAAAGGTTTTCCACTTAAACCACCAACCTCATCCTTGTTGGCACTAATCAGTGACTGTGGTCGACTTATTGTTGTATTTGAAATTATAAGCCCATCCACTTTTGTCTATAAAAAAATTGTTTCTTAAAGTGATTGTTAAATAAAAGAAAAGAAAAAACTACTTAAAAAAATAAAATAAACCTAAGATTGACATCGTTTTAATTTTCAAATGAAAATCAACTGATATTATTTCATACTCTATTATTGTACACACTTTGCCTTTAGTAAAAAGTGCACTTAGAACATTACATTATTTAAAATCCATATTTCAAATTTAGCTATAAAAGAGTTCTCAGAAATATCATCAGTAGGAAGTTGATTCCAATAAAAAGATGTTCTGTTTGTTAAAAAATAATGCAAAGGTTTTTCTCATAACATATCAAACTAGTAGAACAATGCTGAACCTTTCCTAAAATGTTAATTTTATTCTTAAAATATAGAGATCACACAGATACAGCGAATTCAATTAACCTTTAAAAAAAAGTTGTTTATATAATTTTCAGTAATTCACTGTTGAAACCTAGAAATGTATTCTTTAACATACCCAAATCTTTATTTGCTTCACTTGCACACAGATTTCATTTTTCCATTTTAAGTCAAAGCTACTAATTTTGCAAAAGTTTAAAACTTGTTACAGAACCAATCCTTGATAATACTTTTGCATCATTGGCATACATCTTTGAAATATTTATAATGTTATCAAGAAAATTATCAACATAAATTACAAATATATACTAAATTTATTCTTCCAAGATAACGGTAAAAGAAAAAAAAGAAACGCTTCAATCTATTTTAACAATGTAACAGAAATTGCATAATATTAAGGTTTTACCATTAATCTTTTATGGCGTAAAGAATTGAAAAAATTTGCAAAGTCCAAGTAAATTACATCTACAGGTATATCCTGAGACAAATAATACAATATTGTGCCTATTTAACATCATTTGGCAGGTTAACATCATTTTCTCAAACAAATCAAAACATCATTTTCTCGAACAAATACATCTTGGAACTTGTTATCAAGTAGATTTTGATCATTCATAACAAGATTTGTTATAAAGTAGATTTTGATAACAATTAAACTTTTATCTAATAAAGTAATGAAAGTATTATTAATTTCCTCTAATTACTGATCCGTTGCTGGTTATTAAAATACTTGTAAATTAACTTTGGATTTTGTTTAGCCAATATTATTAGGTTTATTTCATAACTTTGTCTATCTTTTCTTGATTCTGTTTTGACTATCTTTCAGATATTTTCGTATTCTTCTGTGATAGATATAACTTTCTATCCTGACAGTTGCAAAATTTGAGGCTTTTTTTCAATTTTATTAATTTTTCAAGTTCGTTTTTTATATCAAATTTTTTAACTGGAATATAGACTTTGTACACCACAGTCATGTTAAAAATAAATATATTATATATTTTCTGGACAGATTTATTATTAAAACATATTAACCAATCACAATAGAAAACAAGATATTAATTGAACTAGAACCTGTTTTTCTATAAATGCTAATAAAAACTAAGTGCCCTCTTTCAATATTTCTTACAACTAGATGTGATTCAATTTGGAACAATCTTTTTTTAGAGCGTGCTTAAGTTGAATAATATAAAAGAAAGGTTGAAAGAATTTATTATTCTGAGTAAATATACAAAATTTGATGAGGGATCATGAGTGTTTAAACCCTACTATTAAACACGAAGGAGGCTCTTTACAAGTTTAAAGCTGTTTATCTTCATCTGGATAGGTGATTTGATCAAAATAGAGGGGAGACTTACCGGGGAACGTGATGTGGATATCTAAGGCACCATGCTATACCATCTGGAATGAGACTAATAGGTCATAATTTTATTCTGCAATAGGACAATGACCCAAAACATTGTTCCAGAGTGGCAAAAAGTTATTTAAATGAAATGGCAGAGGAAGGAGTACTAGAATTGATGACCTGGCCTGCCCAGAGGCCAGATTAGAATATAATTGAGCATATTTGGGATTACCTGGACAGAAAGAAGATCGAACATGCTCCCAAAATGCTGAAGAATGTTTTGAAGTACTTCAAAGAGAAGATTACAACATACCCCAGGATTTTATAACTAATTTGTATGAATCTATTCCACTGTGAATATTGGCTGTGATTAAGAGAAAAGGAGGACATAGTAGATATTAGGAGTCTTTTATGAAATTTGACATTAACAACTATGTAATTGTTTCATATTTTATGTGAAATACATGTGTTTTAATAAAGTCTATTGTATAGAACTACAAACTTAAATATTAGAGAAGAGTTCTCTGGAATTTTTTGAAAAATTGTTAGTTGTCTAAAACATGTTCACAGTACTGTATGTTGTACAAATAATCAATAAGTTCGTGTAAAAAACCAAAACAATGATTTAAAACAAAAACATTATAGTTGAGTAAAATTAAAAACAAGATATTTTTTAAAAAATCTTCACCATTATTTAATGTATTAAACAAAATTAAGTTTTGACAAAAAATATAACACAAACACACATATTTGGGGCAGGCCACAGTACCGCATATATTTTTCAAAGAATCAATTTTAATAATAGCTGCATAAAATATTGTTCTTTTTACTATAAAAACCATTTTTTGTTCTAAAAGCTCATGTCTAAGATCTGCTAAATTTCATTTTTAGTCTAAATTAATTGAATACAACTAAAACACAAAACTTCCATTGCATCTGTTTTTTAATTTGTTCAGTTTAATACTTATTAATAACTGTGTATTTCTGTTGTTCTTCATGTAAACAAAGGCATAACATGCATGTTGCGTTTTTCTAATAAGCATATGATATTTTTAATATGTTTTACATAAATACCACCAAATTAGAATAAAAACGATATCTTACAGCAGGAGATCAACTTTAAGAGATTATATTAGGATAATAATAAGAATAATGCATCCAAACATAAAGAAATTTGTTTTGCAACGACTTCCCTATGCAGTGTATTTTTTCAAAAAAAAATTAAAAAGCTAAGTAAGACTAAATATCATATATATTGTATAAATATATATTATATGCTTATCTTTTTAACAAAATTTACTCTCACCTGCCTTATTGTAGAGAGGGGTTAAATAGCTAGGGGAATAAATTCAATGATAAAAATTTAGTGATTGGGTTGTTGTACAGTCTCTTGCAAAAGTTTAGTTTCATTTTCAACAAATAATTGATTAACCTAAAAAATGCTTAACTGATTCTAAACTTTTGCATAAGACTGTTATTGTGGGGATAGGTGGAGATACATTTGAGCAAAGGCAGATTAGGGGAAGGGTCATTAGATTGTGGTGGGGTGAAGGTGGTAAAATTCTTTTTATACTTTTTAAAATTTAATTCTGACGCAATCATTATTTTTAAAGATATTTTAACATCCAGTTTTCACAAGAGAACTGGAATACAAACTTACTGCATAGTGTTAACTGTATTTTTTTTTTTACTGTATTTTTTTAATTGTTTTTCTCCAGTTTTTTGATCAAACAATAGCCATTACTTAAAAGCTCCAAGTAAGACAGGGCAGGGTGATATACCAGCCTGCCACCTTTAAAGTTTAAATATATGTAACAATGATAAGATTGTATTTTGAAAATACTGAAAACCAACCCATAACGTTTTTTTTTTCTTTTTTGGAGCACTGCCTAAAAGGTAAAAGGTAAACATAATGTTTTTATGGATTAAATTAAATAAAATTGTAACTAAAAACTTATTTTTCCAATAATTATTTAACTTTTGCATTTTTCTTAAAAACACATATTACATTCTAATACTTTTATATTACTTTTTTTTTTTATGAATTTGCCTCCCCAATTCTAAGAAGGTCACTACAGTCAAGGAGACTTCTTTTTTTTCTTTTTTATTTATTTAAAATAGTGATTATAACCCTTTCTTAACTCTTTAACTTTGAAACACAAACCTTGACAGTTAAGATCACTGCCTGGAGAAACAAGTTGAGTGTGGTACAACCAGGGATGTGATGGGTTGGAACTTAGAACTTCTTGCTTACCAGGAGAGCCCTCATTTTCCTACAGGCAGTGATGTGATTTACAATTAAGAAACAATGGAAAATCTTTTAAAATTATTTTGTAGGAATAGGATGAAAATGTAATTTATTTAAAATGAAGCTGTTTTCGAACCTTTAAAGTAACTATCTATACATAAAAATTAGTTATGAAGATAGTTCGAAATATATACATTAAAATAAACAAATTCAAATAAAATTTCTTATCTTCAGGGTGAAGCTACACAAAACAACGTTCTTAAAGCAATAAAGTTTTTAAATTGCAATAAGTAGCAATTATTTGCTTATTTAGTGCAATACAAATAATAACTGCTATTTCATTAAAATATACCCATCATCAAATATACTACTGTCAAACAGATCAACCCATATACTGTCAAACAGATCAACATACTACTGTGAAACAGATCAACCCATCATCAAACATACTACTGTCAATGTTACCCATATATTCAATATGTTACCCATATATTCAATATGGGTAATGTTACCCATATATTCAATATGGGTAATGTTACCCATAATTCAATATGAAATAGCATGAGTAAGAAGAGTTGTTTTACTGAAAAACAAAATTTTTCATAACAAAAAGTTCATAAAAAATATTTTAGTTGTGACAAACTAAATTTGATAAATTGATGAAGAATTTAATTAGTTATCTAATATTATTAATAGATACTTAAATTTGTTGATGGGTTTCATCTGTATGGTTTGATCTGTTTCATCCTATATGGGTAACATTGACAGTAGTATGTTTGATGATGGGTTGATCTGTTTGACAGTATATGGGTTGATCTGTTTGACAGTAGTATGTTTGATGATGGGTATATTTTATGGGTAATATCTTGGTATATTTTTTTAATAAGATTAACTCTTTTAATTTAGGGGTCACTTTGTTTGATTTCATGTAACCGTGAAAGATTCATCAGATGTAAGCATTCCAGCAACTTTTGATTGATTCTTGGCCTATGGGGTGACTTAAGCATTCTTGTCAATGTTACCCCAAAACTGAAATATGTTTAAAAAAAA